CCCCCCCCCGCCGACCTGTCTGGCCGCCATGCTTCGCACCACCCGCCAGCTGTCGATGGCGCGCGCGCCGTTCGCGCGCTGCCTTTCGAGCGCCTTCGAGGCGGTTCCCGCACAGGCATCCTGGTATGTGAGCCTGGCCCGGCGGCGCCAGCCGCCTGTTGCTCCTCGCCCTGCTCGCGGGATGCTGTTGACTGACCCGTGTGGCCGCGCTCGAACCCGGCCACAGTATGATCATCGCGGCCCGGGCCCCGGCCAGCGAGACCCCCGCCCCGGAAGATGGCTTCCGGCTGCTGTTCCTCAAGCGCTCGGCCACCATGCGCTTCCAGCCGAAGTGCGTGTCCCTGCGGCCCGGTCCGCTCCTCGCTCGCCCTGCTTCCCCGCCGGCGCACGCCGCATGATCTGAGCTGACCCGCCTGCTTGCGCCGCGTGCGGCAGCTTCCACGCTTTCCCCGGGGGCAAGGTCGACCCGACCGATGCCCTGCTGGCGCAGGCCCTTCGCGAGGCGGCCTTCCCCACGCTGGATGCCAGGTATGTTCGGCCGGGGGCGGGCCCCGTGAATCGCCAGGCCGCCCACTGACCCGTCGCGCCGCCCGCCTCCCCCCCCGCCCCCCCCCGCCACCCCCCCCCCCCCGCCCCCCCCCCCCCCCCCCCCCCCCCCGCCCCTCCCCCCCCCCCCCCCCCCCCGGGGCCGCCCAGGGGGAAAAAAGGGGCCAACCCGCTCGCCCCCCCCCCCCCCCAAATCCCCCCCCCCCCCGGGGGGGGCGCACCCCCCCCCTTTGGGGCCCCGCCCCCGGGCGCCCCGCCCCCCCCCCCCCCCCCCCCCCCCCCGCCCCCGCCCCTCTCCCCCCTCCCGCGACCTGGACCCCTGACGCATCCATCTGCCGCCCTGCTCGTGCCTCGCGTCTGGTGCCCCCCTCCCCCCTCGGTCCTCGCGCGCGCGCGCGCGCGCGCGGTCGACAGTGCGGCCGTCGATCGCTCGGCCAACTGGCACGCGGACATCGACGCGCGGGCCATCTTCCTGCGGGACCGGGCGCCCTCGCTGGATGCCCCACTGGGCCCGGACGCGATGCTCATCACCCGCGCCTGCCGGCCGCCCTTCTCCAACCGGGCCGAGCTGCCGGTCCTGGGGGATCTGCCGGCGGCGCGGGCCCCGCGGCCGGCCCCGGCCACCCGGACCACGGTCCTGCTGCCGGGCGACGCGGACTACCCGCGGCACCTGGCGGCCTTGCTGGCGGCGCAGGGGCCGGATGCGCGGGCACCGGCGCCGGACGCCGTGCCGGTGGCCGCCGCCACCCCCGGGGCCGCTCCCCGCCGCCGGCGCCTGGTGCGCTTCGACCTGGACGAGGAGGACCCGCCCGGCGCCGAGGCGCCCTTCCTGCTGCTGCGCTGAACTCGCCGCCCGGCGATCCGGTGGCACTTGCCCCGCCCAATAGAGACCCCCCGCGCCGCACACACGCGCGCGCGAGCGCCGCGCCCCCTCTTGGCGCCCGGGACGGCGGAACAGGGAAAAGGGCGACAAAAAAGGCCCGGAACATAGAAAGGGCGGGGGGGGGGGGGGGGTTTGCGCCAGCGCGGGTGATTAAGCGGGCAGCGATCGGCGCGGTGTGGCCGGCCGGAGGGGGGGGGGGGCGACGTGCATCGGTGGCACCCCTCCTCCGCCCCGCCCCGTTAGGTGGCATGTTTCCGGCGGGGAGGGCCGGCCGAGCACCCCGGGGGCGCACCCGATCAGATTCCGCCTCTTCTTGGACGGGCGTGC